GCAGAGGAGTTTCCCTGTTGCACAGTAACTGCCAGCCATGGGCACCTCAGATGGGAAAAGGTAGTGTCCAAGGACTTGTGATAATTAAGATATCCAGAAAGATTTCCCTCTCAATCTTGTCTCCAAGGCATGAGATATACTCAGCACCTGAGGAAAAGCTGGGCCACCTGTGAGGAAGAAAAAGGTGGGAGTTAGGAACCAGCTGAGACATGAGAATGCTTATTTAGAAGCTTTTATTAAAATATTAGTGAGAGATGGGAGTGTTCTCCCAACATAATCACCACAGGGCATTCCAGGAGCAACGGCTTCTCAGTGGTCGAGGCATTTAGTGCAGAAGTGGTAGAAGCCTTAAAATCTGAAATTGTGCCTGTTTTGATGAACTCTGGCAGCGAAAGGGGGAAGGACCGTGCAGAAGGATCAGGCACAGCGCCGGAGGATCTGGCTCATTCAGCCAGGACAGTCACCCTTTGAATGGAAGGATCATGACTGATGCATGGGCGGACCTTGGGTGGGAGGGGGAAGACAGGGAGCACACCCTGGGGCATCATAAATAGTCAGCTGGGGGGAGATGCCTCCAGCACAGAGCTCATCTGAGGGGTGGACGCTGCTGACGCCACGTGGCATCACTCCCAGGTAAGCCAGGAAGGAGGGAGGACAGGTTCCCTGGGCTTTGCTGGAATCCCCGTGCTTTTCCATGGAGATGTGCTGGCGGAAGGGTCGAGGTTTTCGAGGGTCCTGACGGAGACTGGGTCAGCTGGACTTTGGCTTTGCCTCCCCTCGCACAGGGGTTTGTCTGTGCTGGCTGAGGGGGAAGCTGCTTCTTCAAGGGGAACGTTTTGAGGGGACAGCACACCATGGGGAGCTTCCTAGGGGAAAGAGGCCTCCTGCCGTCCCCAGGGAGAGAACAGCTGTGGAGGGGAAGGAGAATCCTTGGAGAGGTTGAAGTTGCAGAAAACTCTGGCTGGTGAGAGCCTGGGCTGTGAGCTCAGAGGAGCAGGAACTCCCCCATGGTGGGGAGGTGGGACTCAGCACTGGATACTCATGGACAACCACGCACAATCCCTGGACTGCAGGCAGGACTCACTCACTGAGGGCGAGGGGCCCTAAATTCCGTAAAACCAAGGCAGGGAGGATGGAAAACAGAGGGGAGGTGGAACTCCAGGATGAGGGGGAGCTGATGGTCCACTCGGGCATCTTGGCTCGTGTCCCCTCCACACAGGTCTCCCAGCCCCTTCCTCCATGCTCAGTCCTCCCTGGCATCCTGCTGGGACTGGCCTGGCTGCTCCCCAGCCCCTCGGGCGATGCCGGGCTGGATGTGCTGCCTGAGCTGCTCCTCCCCGGAGCACGGGGGGGGCTGAGGCAGCTCTTCCCACGGGAACAACTAACAGCCACGTGGTGCAGTGGTGCCACAGTCACTTCTGCTTTGCAAAGCCAGAGCAAGCTTGAAAAAGATTATCCACAGCCGGAAGCAGCTCAGTCTGGGGAACTTGTGCAAAACGGGTCACAATCCACCAGGAAAGGGGAAAATGCATAAACCCAACTTGGAGCAAAAAGAACACAGGGTAGAAGAAACCTGGGAGCCAGGACAGCACCAAACCAGGTTGTTTTCAGAGGTCCCAGAGTGACCAGTGGGCATCCCTGTCTTGTAGGTACAGAAGAGAAGTAATTTTGGACAAGGTATCACCTGGAGATGGGCAGGTGCTTTATAGGGGAACTCTTAGTAAGATGTTGGTGGAGGGTAGGGGATAACATTTTCTTAATTAACTTTAATAGGTTTCAGCATACTCAGACCTATGGCAGGATTCATGTATGACGGGGTGGAGTTGCTGTTAAATTTTTGATTGGAGACTGATGTGCCTTCACAAGTCCTTGTCCAAGGATTTTACCCCTTTCCTGGCTCGCAGTAAACGCTGAAAGCCAAACTGAGCCGTGGTGGGTGGTTTGCCCCCTGCAGTAACATTATCACAGAATCACAGATGGGTTTGGGTTGGGAGGGACCTTAAAGACCATCTCATTCCAACCCTCCAGCCCTGGGCAGGGACACATTCTGGAGGAGCCAACCCTGAGGTTGCACAGGTCTCAAGGTTTGGTGTGGGACTCGCTGTTGTCTTAAACTCCATTGCCTGTTTGGCAAAGAAATATTAGGATTTCCACTGGAAATTGCCCTCAAGTAGGGGCAGTGCCAGTGGGGTGGGCTGGAACCCAAACCCACGACCCAGTAACTCCTTTTCTCCCACAGCTGTGGGATGGGCTCGGGGTGGGGAAGCCGTGGGGCCCCACGAGGCTGAACGCAGATCTTTCCTCTCCTCCTCTTCCTCCCCGTTCCCATGCAGGACAGAGATGTGTGTGGGGAAGTGCAGCCGGATTGTGGGTCCCTGCCTGCTGGCCCTGGGCATGCTCTCCATGGCAGCCAGCATCCTCCTGCTCTTCCCTGGCGGAGCATCCAAGTACCTGTTGGAGGGGCACATCAGCAGACACGCCCTGGCTGTGCCGGGTGTCTGGGGAGGCGGCATCCCTGTGAGTACTGTGGGTCACACCCGTCCCTCCTCACGGGCCTGTGGAGCAGGGACAGAGGGATGGAGCAGGGCAGGTGGCTTCTCTTTGTCCCCCAGCCTCATTTTCCTTCCCACAGGTGCTGCTGGCAGCGACCCACATCACAGCATTGGGGTGGCGATGTGCCGGCTGCTCCAACTGCGGCACCCGCTGGAATGTAAGGGATCCCTGTGCTAGAGCAGTGCCCAGCAGCAAGGGGTGGGATGTGGGGTGGGACTGGCAGGGTGCCACCTCTGCCATGGCCCCATGGTGGGACATGGCATGGACCTCCTCTCCCCTCATCCCGTGGTGGGATGTGGTGGTGGGTGGCCCCTCTCCCATGGCGGGTCCTGGCAGGGTGTCCCTCTCCAATGGCCCTATGGTGGGACATGGCACAGATCCCCCTATCTCATGGTCCCATGGTGGGATGCTGCCACTTCTCAGAAGACAGGCTTTCCATGTGTGCTGG